GTTTTTTCACATTGTAGCTTGTACCAGAATTTCTTCTTTTCTGAAGCTGAATAATATTCATTATATAATAATTTCCTTACTATCTGAATAATGTTCCATTATATGTATAGATCACACATTCTAAAAATTCATTCATCCCTTGCTAGATACTTTTTGGCTATTGTGAATAATGCTGCTATGAAGATGGATAGTCAAATATCTGTTCAAGTTACTCCTTTCAATTTGGGATATGCAGAGAATTAGAGGTGGTGGTCATATGCCAATTCTATGTTTAATTTATATTTTGAGGAATCTCCATACTATTTTCTCCAGTGGATTTACCATTTTTTCTCCTAGTAATTCACATACCAGTAATTCACAAATTTCAATTTTTCCACATCCCTGCCAATGCTTGTTATTTTTTGCTTTCTTTTTGTAATGGTCCTTCTGTTACGTATGAAATAGTATCTCATTATGGGTTTGATTTGCTTTTACCTAGTTTTTAGTAATATTGAACATCTTTTCATGTACTTATTGGCCGTTTGTGTTTTATCCTCAAAGAAATGTATAAACATGTATAGCAAGTTCTCTGCCCCTGTCCCCTTTGCTTTTAACCATCCATAAGAATTTTTTTAAAAAATTTTGTTTTCAAAAAATTCAAATTCATTATCTAGAAAAGATTAACAGTTTTATTTATTATTTTTATAAAGTTAAACTGCTAAAACATTGAAATATTTTTGACTTGCATTAATGTTTTATGTTCCCACATTTATATTAATAATTCACACACAAAGGAAAATGGAGAAATTGCTAATACCTGATTTCTGACACCTACTTTTCCACTTAAAATCATATACTTAGTTATCTTTTGACCCATGGGAAAAAGTAACTAATGTTTTGAACTACCAATAACAGAAGAGAAAAAAAAATTTTGAGAGTGAAATGTTTTTCATCATAGTAGATCCATGTAGGTAATATGCTTAGCTGGATGTCTTTTCACATAATTGTTAAACATTTGGCATGAATTACACAGGTTTATGTCTTCATAAAGGCAAACCATGTAGACTTCATTTGTTTCAGTCTCTTTGGGGTTCTTTGAGACTTCATATGAATCTTGGGATGGAATTTTTTATTTCTGCAAAAAAAAAAGTTGCTGAGGTTGTCTTTGAACTAGTGATCCTCCTACCTCAGCCTCCCAAGCCACTGGGATTATAGGCATGCATTACCACACCAAGCTGTCATTGGGATTTTGATAGGCATAGCATAGAATCTGGAAATCCCCATGGATGATTATTTATTTATTTATTTATTGGGGGACATGGTCTTGTAAGTTCCTGAGGAAGATCTTGAACTTGGGATCCTCCTGACTCAGCCTCCAGAGTTGCTGAGATTACAGACATGCACTACCATATTGGTATGTTGATATCTTAATATTAAAAATAAGTCTTACAGTCCATGAATATAGGGTGTCTTTCCATTTATTGGTGCTTTTTTTCCAGCAATATTTTGTAGTTTCACTGCATAATTCTTTTGTCTTGATTTATTCCTAAGTACTTCATCCTCCTTAATGTTATTTTATTTTTTGTTATTGCTGTTATTATTCAGCATTTTATTCATGTTACAGAAATCTTTTAGGAGAAAAATGTCATGCAAATGGGCTAAAAAGTCTAAAGGAAATTAATCCACTTTATTCCATTTAAAATCTTAAAAAATATGGAAATTACTGTTACAAATAATCCAAACTCTTCAAAAAGCCGCTTTTAGACTCTTTCTTCCATCCTCCTCACACTACAGTTGTTTCAATCCAGGCCAGGACTCTTTCTGTACCTACATATTCCATTTAAATCACATTTCTGAGTCTACTTGGGGAAAAAAAAACAAGCAAGCTACTGTTTGAAGGCATTTTCAGAAGTCTCTTACTGAAGCTGTTGGTGCATGGGCAGAGCAATCTGAGGAGGGACATTAATGAGTCTTTCACTTAGGAGAAAGCCCACAGGCTTGGTGGTGTCATTTAAAAGCTTGTCCATCTGTTCAACCACACTCTTTTCACAGTTCTTCTCACAGAAGCTTAGAACCAACTCTCTAATTTGTTCAGCACACTGGGTATCCTTTCTTTCAGTTAAATTTAAAAGGCTTATAAAACCAAAAATTTCATTTTCATCTGCATCATCATCATCATCGCTGTCTTCTGAAACATTTGTTTGCTTAATCACACTTCCAATATGGTTCTGTTGAATTAARAGATCTGTTAGTTCTGCAGTGTTCTCAGGAGCCTTTAGGAAAAGCTGCTGCAGTAATTTCTTGATTCCATCATAATTATTATCTGAGATGGAATAAGCTTCAAATTCAGTATTCACTTCCTCGTCAAGGACCTTGTCGTCTTCATCCTCTTCTTTGACATTATCCTCATCGTCTTCGTCTTCATCCTCTACTAAGGCCTCGTTTGGCCCCGATGCCATGCTGCCGTCCTTGATGTTATTTTAGATGGGATTATTTTTTAAAATTTTCATTTTGGGTTTTTATTGTAGTGTATAGAAATTCAACAGATTTTTGTGTGTTGATTTTGATCCTGTTTCTTTGTGGCTTTTTGTTTTGTTTTTGGTTACTGGGGATTGAATCCAGGGGCACTCAAACAATGAACCACATCCCCAGTCCTTTTTTGTATTTTATTTGGAGATGGGTCTCGCTGAGTTGCTTAGGGCGTCACTAAATTGCTGAGGCTGGCTTTGAACTCACTGTCCTCCTGCCTCACCATCTCGAGCTGCTGGGATTACAGGTTTGTGCCACTGCATCCAGCCGATGTTTTTTTATATTATAGTTCCATTAGGGTTTTTTTTTCTTGTGTGTGTGTGTGTGTGTGTGTGGAATCTTTATGATTTTCTACACATATCCTGTTACCCACAAATAGGTAATTTTATTTCTCCCCTTTTGGATAGCTTTTATTGTTTTTTTCGTGTGTGTGTGTGTGTGTGAGAGAGAGAGAGAGAGAGAGAGAGAGAGAGAGAGAGATGATACATACATACATACTACCACTGAGTTACATCTCATCCATTTTATTTTTTGTGACAGGATACCAATCTCACACATGAGCTTTAAATTTGTAATCCCCTACCTCAACCTCCTGAGTTGCTAGGATTTCAGGTGTGTGCCATTGCACCTGGCCCTTTTATTCTTTTTCTTACCTAATTGTTCTGGGTAGAATTTCTAATACTCTGTTGAAAAAAGAGAGTGTAGTAGATATCTTGTCTTGTTCCTAATCTTATAAGAAAAGGTTTCAGTCTTTGACTACTGAGTATGATGTTAGCTATGGGTTTTTCGCATAGTCTTTATTTTCAGGTATTTTTCTTCTGTTAATTTGTTGAGTGTTTTAATCATGAAAGGTTAATTTTGTTAAATGCTTTTTCCTTCATCACTTCTTATGGTCATGTGATTTTTTTTTCACCTTTATTCTGTTAATGTGGTAAAACATTGATTTTTGCATGCTGAACCTTTTTGAATCCCAGGAACAAATCCTACTTAGTCATTGTGATGATCCTTTTTTTTTTTTTTTTCGTGGTGTTAGGGCTTGAACCCAGGGCCTTATACATGAGAGGCAAACACTCTACCAACTGAGCTATATCCCCAGCCCATGGTAATCCTTTTATTATGTTGCTGAGTTTTGTTTGCTTTTATTTTGTTGAGGATTTTCTTTTTTTCTTGGGTACCAGGGATTGAACTCATGTGCCCTTGACCACTGAGCCACATCCCCAGTTGTATTTTGTATTTTATTTAGAAACAGGGTTTCACTGAGTTGCTTAGTGCCTCGCTTTTGCTGAGGCAGGCTTTGAACTAGCGATCCTCCTGCCTCAGCCTTCGAGCCACTGCGATTACCGGTGTGTGCCACTGTGCCTGGCTTGTTGAGGACTTTGTATTGTGATATTCAGAAGGGATATCGATAATTTTCTTCTACTGCCATCTGGTTTTGGTATCAAAGTGGTGTGGGCCTTACAGAGTATGTTAGAAACTGTTCACTCCTCTTCATTTTTTGGGGAGTAGTTTGAGAAAGATTGGTGTTGATTCTTTAAATGGTAGAATTTATCAATGAACTTATATGGTCCAGAGCTTTTCTTTTATTAGGAAGTTCTCAATTAACTGATTCAGTCTCCTAAGAATAGATTAGTCAAATTTTCTATTCTTTATGATTCTCTTTGGTATTTTGTATTTCCAGGAATCTTTCCACCTAAGTTATTCATTGTATTGCAAAGGTTATTTTTAGAACCATATTTTCTAAGTGATATTTAGAGGAGGCATAGAGTGCATTGTAGTTGTATACCTTACATTATCATTGTTCTTTTGTATATCATTTTTGCTTTGTGATTCTACCAGTAACCCTTTGAATAAACAATACAGCTGTTAGTCCTATTTTATAGATGAATCTGAAGCTCCGTGATACTCAGGTGACATAGCTATACAAATCATAGAACTTTAAACTTAAACAAATCTTCTTGATGGGAATACGCAGAAAATATAAAAGTTGTTCTCAGAAGTGAAGGAGCTTTTTAGAATTTGGGAAATGTGAGATTTGGGGGTTTATCACAATGGAGCAGTTTTTTAAAATAGGTTGAAAAATACCATGACATCATCTTTCATTCTTGAGCTTCCTTATTTTTAGTTATTTAAAAATGGTAAATATTTTTATTACTATCTAAAGTATTTGTAGAAAAATATCACACAAAAATATTAGGTTAAAAATGTGAATCTTCAACTTAGGTGTTCAGAACAGTACATTTCCTTTAATAAATGATTTGTTTAAATATAGTACTGCAAAGGTTTTCAATGTCTGAGGCTTCTAGCCATATTTTCAGTTAAAATTCTAAGATCATTTGTTAAAGCTCTGAAAATTTGAGTTATTTATTTGCTCATTGATCAAGAATATTGTCCTTTGCCCAACATAATTTTATTACCACTATTTTCAGTTTCTTATTTTTCTGTGGCTTTATATTACAGTTTATAACACTAAAGAATTATTGTTTATATTTCAGGTTCCTAGAAGCCAGACCAAACTGGCAATAATGCTTGAAAAATTAGGAATGGATTATGATGGACGACCTCATAGTGGTCTTGATGACTCTAAGAACATCGCACGAATAGCAGTGCGAATGCTTCAAGATGGATGTGAACTCCGAATCAATGAGAAAATGCATTCAGGACAACTAATGAGTGTGTCCTCTTCCTTACCAATAGAGGGCACTCCAGCTCCACAAATGCCACATTTTAGAAAGTAATAGCATTTTTGTCTGGGGAACATTCTAACTGGAGTTGCTACAAAAGAGGTAGCAGATGGATGCTCATTGACTGCAGTGCAAACTTCAAGCACCTTAAACATGAAAAATCTTTGTTACGATTATATGTATATATATTATGTATGTGAACAGATTTTGTGGGAGGGCATATTGAATTCTTTCTCACCAGCACTTTTGATATGAGCAGTATTTGTTACACAGTAATGTCCTGCTTATAACTAAATTTTTTAAATTGTCCAAGATTTTAAGGTGTCCAAGATGTACTCTTTTTGATTTTAAAATGCAAAATTTTATTGATTCTTCCCTTAAATGTCATATTTTATTGGTGTTGAGATATAGAATGTATTTCTGAATTAACATCATTTCATTAAATCATTCTTAAAATGCCAAAAAAAAATTGAAAGGTAGGCCTATGTTAACCTTTGGGTTTTATAAATATAGTCCTCTTGACTTTTGAAGTTTATATAGGAAGTTCAACTACAGTCCTCTCTCAGTACTCTTGGGTTTAGTTCCAGGACCTGGTGTGGATACCTCAAGTCACTTACATAAAACGGCATAGTATTTACATATAACCTACATAGTCTTCCCATATATTTTAAGTCATCTCTCATTTATCATACCTAATAAATATAACTACTATATAAATAGTTGCTGTACTGTATTGTTTAGGGAATAATGACAAGGAAAAAAGTTTATTCTGATACAAACAGTGTAGACTAACCTACATAGTACAGGAACAAGATGCGGGACCAGCAATGACCAAACAACRTGTGCTGGAGAGAAACTAAGCATCTGTGGAGTGGCAGGCTGCAGCAGGGTGTGCTCACACATCACTTTTTTTTGTGAAGATTCAGCGTAGTGCTGGACATGTGGAAAATTCAAGTTTTGCTTTTTGGAAAATTTCCCCCAAAATATCTTCAGTCTATTGTTGGTTGAATCTACAGATGTGGATCCCAGACTGGATATATGGCGAGTTTCGTAAAAATATTTGGTGTACATATCTGCTTTTTCTTTTTTTTTTTTTTACTTAATTGTAAAACTTGATGGATTATTGGATTAAAAATTAAGTTACTAGAGATTAATGAAAAGTAAAAAATGAATACTATTTCATAGGGCTGTTGCTCAAACTTTATAAAATAGTGAGTTCTTTTGGATTTGATTGATTAGTTTCCTTCCCTCTTATGACATACTTGCCCTAATTCTTAAATCTAAGATGCCACACTTAGAAGTAGCCATTTAATATTACATTTGTATTTAGTTTTATAAATAATGTTTCCTATCATATGCTTTTATTTTTAAAACCTCCATTGGCCACTAGTGTTGTTTAGTTAGTCAATATATTCTTGATTGTCAGACTTCACTTAATATATGACCACTAGTTATTGAGTAGTTCTTAATTCTAAAAACAAAGATGGCTTTTGGATTAGTAAAGTTGATAAAATAAGACTTATTGGAGACTAAAATATGTATTTTTAAGAATTAAATTTCCTGTGGCTTTCTCATGGACATTGCTTGCTTTTCTTTTACTTTGTAATACTTGTGATTCTACTTTAGTGATTTGTGTATTGTYATCAAATGAATTAGCAAAGATTTCCTGACACTGATGTATAGAAGAAAAGTATGAAAGTAGATACTTTCTTGGCATGAGAATTTTCCACACAGGGTTGTGGTTTTCTTATTTGACCCAATGAAGTTCTGCCTTTGAGCAATAATGATGTAATAATGAACAATATTATGTAGGTAACATAAGGCACAGAGAATGAATGTCGTTAGATAAAACTTATAGATTATAGTAAAACAGTGAATCCAGGAGTTTTAAATTTACAGTAAAAACAGTGAATCCAGGAATTTTAAGTTTACAGTAAACACTCGGAGTGAGAGGGATATATAAAGTATCCTAACAGTTTTAAGTAATTTCCTCCAAATTCTTACTGTGCCAGGACAAAGGAGTAGAATATAGCAAGTCATTGTTGAGTTGATTCTGGATGCCAGGAGGCCTACTAGACATATTCCTTAGGTGATTCTTCTACATARCCACCTTACTAGAGGATCAAATACATGCCCTACTAAAACTAATTGCTTCCCACCTACTTCCATAATTGCTTAGGAATAGATGAAACTACAGTTAGAAAATCTTAGAATGGCAAGGAAATATTAATTGCCCTTTTACTTTTTTTAAATCAAGTTGTTTATTTATTCTTGCCAAGTACCGAAGTACTGAAAAACTCATTTCTTTTGAAGAACTTCACTATTATAAATTCTCAGTACCCTTTTGGCTCAACCAAATATTTTACTGTCTTAATTTCTTTTTTAAAAAAACGTATTAGTGCATTATAGTTGTACATAATAGTGGGTTTCATTTTGATATTCATAAATGCATAGAATATAGTTTATTCCATCTCAATCCTCAGTATTTGCTGTTTCCCTTCCCCCCAACCTCCCCAATCGTGTTCTCTTTATTTATTTTTAATTGGTATTATAGTTATATAAAATTGGAATGCATTGTAATATATTCATACCTGCACATAACAGTTTGATTGACCTCATTTCCGTTTTTTTTTTTTAACTACTGCTGAGCCCTTGCTCCCTCCCCTTCAATATGATTTGAGATTCTGAGATGAATCAGGTCTGTTCTAATGAAATGATCTTAAACATTAGGAGTACTGCTTTTTTGCTTTTTGATTATTGTTGTGTTGTGTTGTCTTTAAGGTATAGAGTACAGATAATTATTAAGGAAAACACTTAAGAGATTAATGCCATTCTAGTATCTCAGTCAAGATAATACTTGCTGATACTTTCTTGTTAATGTCAATATTATGAACATTAATATTCTTTGCAAACAATCCTTTTGTTTTTTATTAATCATTAGTTATGCTAATTTTCTTGTTTTTTATGTTTCACTTGCTCTGACTCAATGACATTGGATTTGTGCTTTATTTTTTCAAATTCAGTTGTTAGAATTAACTGAAGTATATACTGGAGCACTGTATTTCGCCTAGTTTTTGTGTTTTTTAGATAAAATACTTAACATTTTGCTCTGAAAAATAATTTTTTTTGACTAGATCAGGCAGAAGAAAAAAAATTATTATTTTTTTTTTGATGTGTCTTTTCTGCTTTAAGAAAGACCTGTTTGTCCTGCCTGATAGGGATAGGTTTCTTTAACCTGGATTGAAATTAAAACCACAGGAGTTACTAACATGTAAGGAAGATGCCATCTCTTGAGATTAGTTTATTTCTGTGTATATTTTTAACAAATGGGACCAGTTGACCTTTTATAGATCATCCTGAATATCATCTCCCAAATGATAGTGCTAAGCAGTAATTTGGAGGAGAGGGGAAGAACTGGTAGTAAATTTCCTGGGGAGGGGAGGAAGGGTGAGTGGTCAATATAAATAATGCATGTTTGGCCTAKGCTATAGGTGGAGGCAATCAAGAAACCACTTGTCTCATGGATGAATGCCTGTGTGTGTGTGTGTGGTAAAAATCTGAGAAGAATATACTGTGCTTGGAAGGAAGACCTATTTCTATGCTTCTGTAGAGAAGTATAAGCTACTTGAGGGTAGTGACTACAACTTGTAACATTTTTGATTCCAACAATATATAATAAAATGTTTTGTATAGTTGAATGTGGTTTTGATGAATAATTGAAATTAAGTCTTTATTTTCTAGTATATTTAGCTTTCTCTTTCTTTTGTACCACCAACCTATATTTCAGATCTCCCTGCTCCCATGAAACTTCCCAAGAATAGATTTGTTAATATAGAGCAAGGATTGGAGAACTCATCTATGAGCCAGATCTGGCCTGTTTTTTTTTTTTTTTTATGGCATAGAAACTATGGTTTTTGAATTTTTAATGAAATCAAAAGAATACGTAGCATGAAAATATGAAATTAAATTTCACTTTTGTACGTAAAGTTTCATTGGAACAGAACTACCATTCTCATTTGTTTGCATGTTATTTGGGGCTGTTTTTATGGTACAGTGGCAAAGTTGAATTGATACTACTAAAACCATCAGGCCAGCAAGGCTTAGACTATTACTTTTAGACCTCTACAGAAAAAGTTTGCTTATCCCTACCTTTCTGATCTCAAGCAATATATAAGTTCCATCAATTAGTAAGAAATTGGTAAGATAACCTAGAGCAGAATGTTGAGCTATGATAATATTTATTGAACACTCAGTTTCAAACTTAGTCTGACTGGTGCTTCTGTGCTTTACCCCTATACTAGGCTACCTCCTCTTATAGACATTAGCTCATTTGATAATTTAAGAACAGATGAGTTGTGTTACATAATACAAACATCTTCCTGTTGCTAGACATTTGCAGTGTTTGTATTAAATATTACATTAGGAAATAATTTGATGTTCATTCTTTGTATGAAATGTAAAATAACTGTTCACATCAGATGTAATAGGCTCTGAAGCTTTTGGAGGATGGGAATAGGTGGGAAAGAAAACGGATTTTTAAAATTTTTCCAGTGTTTGTAGGGTTAGAAATGTTATTGTGAGTCAATAATGGGACAGAAGCAAAAAAGATTTCAGTTGTAGTGTAGTAATACCTATATAGTATCTTTGGGAGATTGATTCCAAGAGTATTACAGATAAACAACTGAGGATGCTACTATAGTCTTTTGTATTAATGGTGTACTATCTGCATAGAAGCTGTTTGCATCCTCTCGTAAACTTTAAATCTTCTCTAGATTACTTCATAGTAAATACCTAAGGTAAATGCTATAACTTCAGTACAGATACAATTTTCACTAATTTCAGTCTGGTTGGTTGAATTCTACAGATGTAGAACCCAACTAGTTGTTTTCCTGGATTCTATATTAAGATAGGTGAGGGACTAATGATTCTGAGGCTTTAGACATGGTTTGCTTTTGTACTTCCAAATGTCTGTTCTCCAGATAAATTCTTTTAGTTTTTCTGGAGTGAATAGTGATTGATCATTGTAGTGTCATGTAATAGTATGATCAATAACAGTCTTAGACTATAACTCCTTTCCTATTTAATTGAGCGAAGAGAACAAAATAGCATATGATTTTTCTCCATGCTAGTATATTGAGTTGCAACATAGCTAGTTATGGCAGAGGTCACACAGATTGAACCTTTTCCCTTCAAATGTCTATTTTTACTTGCTGAATGTGTTCCTTTGAATAGAAATCTGTTTTCCCTTTGGTTTTGGTTTTGTAAGTGGGACCATGACCATCACAATTACATAGGCTTGAAACCTTGGAATTATTCATGGTCCTCTCTCCCCAAGTTAGCATAATGTCCATTGATTATTTTTCAGTCATATTATCCTTGCATCAGTACTTATATCTTAGATACCCCAGACTTTTGCTAAAATTTAGTTGGCTGTTCTCTGCTATTGTCTTAATTTTTCTCACCCGTTGTCTGTCTTAGTTCACTTTATGATGCTATAACAGAATACCATGGACTGGGTAAATTATGAAGAACAGATTGATCTCTCCAATTTTTGAAACTGGAAAGTTCAGTATAAAGGGGGTAATATCTGGCAACCGCCCTTTTGCAGCAACATAGCATGGGAGAGGGCATCATATGGCAAGAGAATGTAACAATGTGCCAGCTTAGGTCTACTCCTGTTAGAAAGGCATTCATTCTGTGACCACCCATGGAATTCCCTGAGCCCCCATTACCTCATGTAACTGTAAGTACCTCCCAAAGACCCCACTCCAAATATCATCTGCATATTCGGAGATTAAGTTTCCAGCACATGAATTTGGGTGGACACTTTAAACCATAGCACTCTCTTCCTATGTGCTCCAGTCATAGATCTTCCTAAAATTTTGCACATTGATCTCAGAAACTCATTTCTCACAGAATAAAAACCAACAACACTCCCTTGGCTTTTAAGACCCTCCACACTGTGGTTTCTTATTATTTTCCAACTTTTACAGTTGCTGTCAGTTGTGAACTAATCACATTCTCCTAACCATCACATGTGCATACACATACACCATTCTATTTCTGTGTCCAGGAAATGAGTCCAGCAAGCTTGTTCTCTTGATTCCAATTTTTAAAAGTTCTGCTTTGATTCTAGTCTTTTCTTCCCAGAGTACCCTGCCCTTTGGCAACATATCCATTACTCCTTGTACTTTTGATGAACTTATTGGGTTCTTAATTTCTGCTACAGAGATTAAAATTTTCTGGGATTTTTTTTCTCCTCCCAATAATAGTGCTAATTCTTCAAGCATGTTCTTACATGTTGTATCCCCAGAACCTAACATATGAGGTGTTCAATGAAAACTAGTGATGGTAAAATATATTTCATAATGTCAATACTTTTCCAAATGTTTTATAAAGTAGAAAGCATATGTCTTGACCATACATTTTTAGAAGCTCCAACTGAGGAACAGAAATCTTGAATCCCTGTCTGTGCGTGGCTTTCCCTCTAGGTGCCAGAAAAGGCAAACAAATGTTCAGCTCTCCTTCCTAGTTGTTCAGTCTGTGTGCTCCAAGTATCTTTGGCCTTGAAAAGGGTTATTTGCTTGCTTTTCTCTGTCTAGAGTAGTGATTTTCAAACTTCTTTGCACAAATACTTACTAATAATTTAAAGAAAAAAAAATTTACAAGGCAGCCGTATG